CATCAAAACACCCCGGTCCCCTGCCTGTTTGCCAACACAAAGCTCCGCGCAGGCACATCCTTTCGATGTCTTACTCTTGCATCCGGGGTGCATGCATTTGCGTTGAGTCTTCACCGAAATGCTCCCCCACACTTTGTCCGGGGCACCCGTCACCGCCGCCGGTCTCCCCCCCTTGTTCGGTCTACCAACATTGCACCTCGCCATGAGCTCCGTCGACAACATTTCGTCCCAGACCGCCCTCTCCATCTTGCCCAACCTGCCACCCTATCCAACTTCTCCACCACCTCAAGCTCTAGGCCACCTCCCTTGATCCTCTTGTTGGCCTGATCCTCCAAGAGGGACACGTACTTTTTGAACATCACAAAAATGTTGGTGAACGTCTGCTCAAACTTGCCCTCCATCACTCGTCGCCAGTGGTTCGTGTACGACTTGTGGTCATGGGTGTGGGACCCATTCTGCTGGTCAGCCGTGTCTACTCCCCCCATGTTGGCAACATAATCCTTGCGCATCCACGGCTGCTGTAGCTCCAAGCTTTTCCCAGCCTGACCAGCTTTGCGCAGACTGAACATGAACGGATGGGGACGGGATGGCAGGGGACAGACGAAGCACCTGGGTTAGGCAACACACTTTCCACAGCAGGAACCACGCACTGGAAAGGGGGCGTCAGGCCCTATCAATAAAACAATACACAAGCCCCGAGTACCTTCCCGACCGGTGGAAGCAACGTGTGTGATGAACCGAATAAGAAAGGCACCAACGCGAATCGCTTCATGTTGTCAAGCACGAAACCGAGGACTCCATCACACGACGAACCAGTTTACCGACGGCTACACGAGCGAAACACCCGACATCAANGGCAACACACTTTCCACAGCAGGAACCACGCACTGGAAAGGGGGCGTCAGCCCCTATCAATAAAACAATACACAAGCCCCGAGCACCTTCCCGACCGGTGGAAGCAACGTGTGTGATGAACCGAATAAGAAAGGCACCAACGCGAATCGCTTCATGTTGTCAAGCACGAAACCGAGGACTCCATCACACGACGAACCAGTTTACCGACGGCTACACGAGCGAAACACCCGACACAGCGATCGACATGAATCTAGGGAACAACGAAAATGAAAGGTTACCTGTACGGTAGAGGTGCGAAGTGGTCATCGCCGCCGTCGCTGTCCTCCTTCTTGGGCTCCCCGATGGCGGCGTGAGGTTGGGCGATGTGGATGGAGCTGCACAGAATGATTTCCTTCGAGTCTAGCCACTGCACGAATGCGACATTGCCGGCGCGGGCAAAGTGCATCTCTCCCCTTTCGACGGGGCGGCGATCGAGGCTCTGCAAGTAAGGCACGGCACCACCCGTTCGGTTTGACCGGCACGTACCCACCGCGAAGATGTCGTGGCTCGCGAGACACTCGAATAGGGTCGGGCTTTTGAAGTAGTTGTCCATTGCGATGTACGCGCCAGAGCCGTCGATCTTGTCACCGAACTTCTTGCAGGCGCCGAGTAGGACATGTAGGACGTGGCGAGTGGTCCGCCCCAGTGGGCAGTCGAACCAAACCCTCAGCTTCGGGTCCCCGTTCATTCCACCGTCTACGCTGCTGACGAAACAATACCCCTCGATGTCGCAGATCGCGAACAGCTTCATGCCTGGGTTTTCAACAACATGAGCAGAGAAGGACGATGGAACAAATTGTCAAGGCGGCGCGCCAACAGCTCACGCGTGGATTGAGCGTTTGCACTCAATGAGACGATGCAAGCTCGAAAGACTTTCGGACAGGTATCGACGAGACGGTTCCAGTGTCCCCCCTGTTGGGCAACGCAATTGCTTTCGCAGTGGAACAAACCGGCGTTGAAAATCGGCCCAACGGGCGTGACATGTCATGTAACCTACGGATTATCACCACACGCACGCAACGAGGGCATCGTGGGTGGCCCAGTTACAGGCATCATGGGCGGCCTTGAGTTCCCCGGCGAATATTGTGTTGTGATATCAACCCCCCCCCTCCAGGAAAACAAGCAGATGCAGAGGTCGTACTTGAGACCTATGCATCCCCGAGGGGATGCCGCAATGTTCCGCTAAAAATGGCATCACTGGGACGGAACATGCAATCTGAATGCCACTGAATGGACACGTTGCGAGTGTGGACGATGGAGTGCGAGCTTTACTGCTGAGCGTGTGTATGTGTCGTTTCGTCATTGGTGAACACCACTACCATTCATCCCTCCCCAGATAATTTGGAGTTACCAAGTATTTGTTATACATTGTCCACGCAAGGTGGGCGGGATCAACTAAAAAAGCACAATTCCCACTACATGAGGTTCTTCAAAACCGAACATGATACAAGGTCTCGACACTGTTCCGAGTGGTTTGTACCCTGTTTTTGTTTTGTTTCCTCGCGGGGTCGCATGTGCCGGGTTTTTGCGACCACGGGCTCCCCATTTTTGTGGACTATAGAGCAAATGTGAGAAACAACAACAACACCAACAACAACAACAACAACAACAACAACAACAACAACAAACTGTAACCAACTATCCACCGAGTCCTCCCAACGGATGTCCGGCACCAAAACAGGATCAGACTCGCTAGGGATAGCCTATACGACACCATACACGAAACCCGTACCGTGGGTGATGGGCTTCTTGGGGCTGTGTCTCATGAGGTAGTGCGCGAACGTCGACACGGTCTTCACCATCTGCTCATCGTAGCACAGCCACTGGTTGAAGTCCATGTTTTCCGTCCATGCGTTGTTCAAGATGTCTTCCAGCTCTCTGCCGGTGAAGCGACGTCAAGAAATGAAAGACAGAAATTTGCAAGGAGGTGTTGCGTTAGTTACAATGGTGTGAAAAATGTGTGGGACATCAATGGACATGCGAACGCACACCCTGTGATTTACACACTAACCACGCGAACCGTTGCTATGATAGTCCCAACCGTACGATGGTCCAGCCTCCAATATTCGACGCGGGGGGCGGATGGGGAGGACAATGACATCTACTTTTTGTTGCACGACATGCTGAACCCTTTTGGGTCTGGGAGCTACGTTCTTCGCCGGTCTGCCAGTCCCAGGTTCCGTTTCGACATTTTGTTTTTCACCACACAAAAGACAAAGGGGGGAGACAGTGCGGGAGAGAGGGAGAAGTGCAGGAATAAAGGCAAGTGTACTTTTGTAGACACCACAACTACCTCCACCTATTCGCTACTAGGGCAGCCCGCGACAGGGCAGTAGCATCTCGTAGGGTCACCCAAGGGTTCTTGCGTCGCGGTGCGGCTGGCCTCCAACTCTCTTTTCAGTATTTCTAACCCTAAGCCCCAACCCATAAACTTGACGTTTGTACTTCTCTGTCACCCGCGAGTGTAAGCCCCGCCGACTCTCTAGAGTTCCTTCCGCATTAACACACTACCACAGCTCGAAGAACTTGCCAATACTCCAAGTGGAGGGATAGAGACGTCGGCAACTCCACGACTTGCTACCATACCAGCTGTTGGAAAAAAATCAATCAAATTACAGTCAGAAGGCCTGAAGTCCAACGAGGATTTGAACTGACCTGATGTGCCACTTCGAATCGAACTCTGGGTTCGGGGTCTTGTCCTCGCCCGCCCAACGAGGAGGAGCGTTGCCGTCCGAGCAGTGAATGAAACGGCAGTACAACAGCTCGAACAAGTCGCGCGACATGCACTCCCTCACTAGAGGATAGTCGTCGTGTAGCGACCTACTCCAGTGCTTTCTCATGCGCGTTTTCTTCGTGAGCCCCATCGTGATCGTGATGCCAAGCATACCGTAGATGTGCTTCCGCTCGAATGCGGGTTCGGGCAGCGTTACCATGCCGAGAGTTCTCGTCTTCTCCACCTGATGCGCTTTCCGCGTGTCCTTCGCTCCCGGGAGTGATGGCGTGGTGCAAAGGTTCACGTACTTGTTGGTCTGCGAATAGACCACGTTTCGCGCGGAAAAGGGCAGGGACAACACGACGAAGGAACGAAACGATCAGCATGGCATTCGCATTAGAGGTCGCGCCGACGCGCCGAATATACACGAGGAGGTGTTGTCACTGGCCCAAGCCGTGGCAGACCAACCATGTCCGATTCACCTTTCATCTGCATACTCTGTCCCCAGGCGTCTTGGAACGTCAACAACATTGAAAGGGCGCACAACAAACTATTTTGTTGCACACCTACGTAGTACCCATTTTCAACAGTCCCTCTTTTTTTGCGAAGGTGTATGTACCACTGTTCAATGGGGGCCCCGCGTGGGAGGTGGGGAGCTGATTTGGTAAGGTAGTCCTAACGCGAGCTTCCATCGTCTCTTGCAAACCACAAGCATGATACACAACACTGACTGGAGCTCTTCACTCGCTCCATGTATGCGTCGCTACCGGAAATACCTGCGTGCTTGAACATATTATAGGATTGGATCTACTTTCGGGCAGTGTAACCAGTGCTCACCTTGTCAACAAAAAGATCAATCGCCTCGTCCGGGAACATCATGTCGAAGCACGTCATCATCGACCCATGTAGCGGGAACTTGCCGGACTCGTCGAGGCTGTCCATGAACGTATCGAGGGAGGGCAGTTTCTCGCGCGCGGACGCCGACAGCGAGGCAGCGCTGACCGTCTCCCGCTGGGTTCTTTTCTTGTGGTCGTCTGTCCCCGCAAAATCAGGAATGCCGCGGTCCGTCCACACGACGTCCTCGTCCTCCTCATCCTCGTCCTCAACCTCCTCCTCCTCCTGCTGCTGCTGCTGCTCCTCTAGCTCCTCCCTCTCCCGCCGCTCCTCCTCCTCCACCTCCCCGCGTGGTCGATGCTGTTTTGTTTTGTTTCTCTCATCCGCCTTCTTGAGCCTCGCCTTTTCCTCGTCGGCGACCTTCTTGAGCTGTGTTGAATACGTCATTGACAAACAGCGTCGACAGCGGATTCAACGCGGTCGGTGTGTCAATTTACCCCCGGAGTGTTGTGTCCAATGTGCAAAAAAAGAATGACGCACGACGCTACGGTGTCACCAACACCGACGAAACCAAGGAGCGAGGGGTAATAACATAGGCCGGCAGGGTGGGCAGGTCACGCACGTGCATTTATATACTACCTCTGAACTCAACGTTCGTCGCCCGCTGCTAACAATGTAAACCACACCCGTGCTGAACAACAGCAGCCTGGTACAGAGGCGTCAACCTCAACAATGCTTACGATCATGCAAGCAACCAGGGAGGTGTCGATTAACCAACGCGTAAAGATACTATTTCTTCGAGGCAAGCGACAACACGAGCCGAACGGAAGTGCATACCTTGATCCGCGTTTGTTCATTGTGGATAGGGTACTCGCCATATGGTATCCCAAGCGAAAAAAAAAAAAACTGTGGAAGTAGTATTTAGCGATGCGCACTCATTTTTTTTCCCTCAAGTTTACACTACCATCATCTCTATCGGCTTCTCTTTGATCCGCCTGTTCGTGCGGACAATGCCAACAGAAGAGCCTACCCGAACACAAACGTACCTTCATACCCAGCGCCCTCCTCTTGTTGGTCAGCCAGAACGCCCGCTTGTAACCCCGCTCCGGAATCTTCTTCATGGCCGTGACCAGCTTTTTCTGGTTCTGCGACATTGTAGCGAAGGCGCCCGGGGTTTGCTTGTGGTCTACGTCCCCCCCCCCCGATGCTGCCGTCGGAATCATAGTTGGCATTGTCGTCTTTGCCGTTGGCCTTCGAGGAGTTCCTCCCACCAGTCGGTGTAGTCTTGACTTTTTTTTTGGCACCTCTCCCATCCCCTGGCGCAACCCCCGCCTTGCGCTTCCCTGGCGCAACCCCTGCTTTCCGCTTCCCCGGCGCAACCACCGCCTCGCGCTTCTTCCCTGGCGCAACCCCGGCCTTGTGCTTCCCTGATGCATCCCTGCCCTTGAGCTTCTTGTTCTCCGCTGTCTGCCCCGCGGTAGGTCGCTTCACCACGACCTTCGGCCCGACCTTGCCCTTCTTTGTCTTTCGCGCTCCAGCCTGTCTCCCCTCCGTCCCGCTGCTGCTTCTACTGCTGTTGCTGCCGCGCGGGAGAGGTCCCATGCTGAACTCGGGATGGTCCTCCTCTTCTCCGCCCACCATTGAGGACCCTCCCGCCTCCCCGCCTGCTGTGTAAATCGCTGACGGCATCAACGTCACCGTGCCTAGTTGCAGCTTCGCTGATGCAACGACTTCGACGAAGGAAGCAACTGCATCGTGTCCAAGCTGCAGACGGTCGAAGTGGTTGAGGTTATGGTTTTGATTACGCGCTAGCCATGGATTCGCGTGCTCTCGATAGAGTAGATGCACCCAGTGATCTCCTTCCTCGTCCATTTTGTCTTCTTTCTCGAACAAGAACATGCCTGCCGTGTTGTTTCCTGAGTAAGCCTGGACTGTGCCGTGCTTAGCGCTTGGCTCCCACACCATGATATTCACCCCGTACTCCGAGGCCAGGAAGGACATCCAGGTAATGTCAACCCACTTCTCCGCACTTTGCCGGGCTAGATCGCAAAACCACCTAACCGTCTTATCCTCCGCGGCCATCCCGTGTTCGACATCCCCTAAAACATGCGGTACCTTCACACTCAGGGCCCGCCCAAGTTGGTCTTTTGAGAGTACCGCTGTCGAGTCCTCAGGGACATCGGGTGCGCCGACGACATGTTCCATGGCTCTACGGGCAACCGCTGCCCGCATTTGCTGCTCGTTGGGAGTCCTCGCTCTACCCAGGCAAGCTTGCAGACCCGCACGCAGCGCGTTCCACCCGCATTTTCCATCCCCTTCTACAGTATGCACACCAGCTCCAGCCAAGGGGGTGATAACCCTCCCACCTTGTATCAATGTTGTGCTGCACTTCATGCTGAGCGCCTGAGGCCCACCGATGTGCTCCTGTACCCTCCGGCCCAAAGCACTCGGTGGGGGAGCTAGCTCCTGTCTCTTGTCAACTCGGAACACAACTTGGTGGTCCGAGTCCGAATCCACAGCAGGAGTGTTCATAGAGCTCGTGCGAAAAATCGCTAGAAGCACGAGAAAAAACGGCCTCATTATCGCGTTTCTGCGTGCTGGATTGCGGTCCCTTTTGCACAGCGCGGGTCGGGTGCTCGGCAACGTTGCAACTCCCAAGCTTTGTTTTTTTGTGTAGGGGACTCTACTGCTGCTGTCCCCGTCGTTATTAAGTTCCTTTTCGACGGTCTACTCGTCCAGTCCAGCCCTCGTCGACGCAGGTATCCACAGCTCAATTCGGGCTCGATTCGGTTCGATAAATGTCACATTAAAGAGCCATCGGAGCTGGGAACGGAGCTCATTCGTGGGTGTATTTCACATAAGGGTTAAAAAAACTTCGGTTCATTGTACAGAGGTAGAAATACCACCTGGACGATTCCGGTACTACTGCACGCCCATTGGCAGCTTCGCACCGTTCGACATGAGACACCATGAACCACGGAGCATCTCAGGTCCCACACATGACATGGTGTCCAGTACCACTGCCTGCGGCCCCTTCGACCGCTGCGAGCTTGACAGCTGACGGTACACACCCATCCCATGTATCAGAACAACGAAAAAAATAATAGGTGAGACATGACTACTGCTGTATGAAGTGGAGAGTACGCCCAAGGGACTTCACCCTGTACAGCAGCAGAGGTAACCCATCTTGGTCAGAGCACAAACAGCTTGCTGTCGCAAATGTGCAACTCATCGTCGTCGTTGATGAATATCTCAAACACGATACACCATCCCTCTCGTCCCTCCGCGCTCTCGTCACAGTGAACATGGTGCACATATTCGTTGGCAGGCCTGTGTGATGGTTGTATAGACTAATGGTTGTATGCATACATGAGAACACACTCTCGCCAAACCAGCAGGGCCGATACGACCCATCCATACAGCCCACGGAGATTGTACCTGAGCATGGCACGAGAGCCGCCATATCCTTACTCGCGATAAGGGTTGGGCACACCTCGGTCCGCGGACCAAAACGCGAAGCACATCTGGCAGACTAGAGATCCAGAAACGAGGTTCGTGTGTTTGTGTGTTGTTGTCGAAACGACCGGGAGTGATCAACAGCAGTGGTCACTCACATCTTCGTTGAAGAGGCCACCACCGGCTCCAGAGAGGGGGGTACCACGACGGTGGTGTCAGCTCCCACGTCCATGGCGTCGCAAGAGGGGCTCCGGGGAAGGCGGAAAGCAAGGTGCGGATGAGGAGTGGACAGAGGACGACCGACCAGCCAGCGGTCGCATAAAGAAGCGGCACAACAGCTGAGGATAGAGACGGAGGCTTGAGCATGAGGCCCCCTGAAAATTGGCATTGTGATCCACGGCCCCCCACTAAAGGTCGGCCGGACAGGGGAGTCAACAGCAGCGAGCGTGCCATCTGCTTGCCTTTGAACATGCCTACTGTACGACGGAGATCATTCGCCATCATGGCCTCCGCCTTGTGCGGTGCAGCGGGGTTGACACGGGTCCAGGGGTTTTGCTTCGTGCCGGCACTGACCGGCTCTAACACTCGATGTCATGGTGCTACAGCAGAGCGGCAGGCCACACAGCAAGCGCAACAGGTGGGCAGTAGCGCTGTTTACCTTCACTGCTGCTGGGTCCATCGTCTTGACCGCCATCCGAAGTCGTGTTCTTTCTCTTCGTGATCTAGGTGCCCTCATCTCTTCAATGAAGCACACGACCAGTCCGTGTTGGTCTGTTCGACGTTTGTGCGGTGCTGCTGCTCCACGCAGCTCACCAAAGTTCAACTCCAGCTGCTGTAGTCGTGCAGGCTGGCCGGCTCTTCTACAATGTGACAGACATGTGTATGGTACAGCAGTACATAGATACATGCGACCCACCGTACTGAAAGGCGAAGACAATGGTTGCTTTGTGAGCTTATTGTCATCCCCATAACAACGTCAAACATGTCCTTCGCGCTGGGTGCTGCTGCACTTGAAAACAGAGGAGCGACTGACGGTGTAACCGTTGCATATAGTCGTGGTCCCGGTTTCCACAGCAGTGCCAGAAAATGTTATAGCCGCTACTGAGGCTGTCGCCGCTAACCCGGATTGACAGTTACATGTGGTTTTTGTCGCGAGATTGTGGAACCGCTATTCAGGGCATCCCGCTAAACAGGGAACCGTTTAAAACCGGGACCACGAGTGTAATCAATTTTGAGCACACCTTCGGGTAAGATGGGACTCAGCTTATTAATCTCGCCAAGGCGATCAGTGCGAGACGAAACTATACATAAGTGTAGCACCAGCAGTAGAGCCCCCATTGGTGACTGCCCCCGGGGGCGACGCAAGAGGACATGGCCGATGTGTTGTCAAGCACGTTGACTTGTACTTTCGATTTTGTACAAATCGTATCGCTTTTAAAACAAGTTTTGGTCCCGATATAATGCCCGTACGTGGTCATGTCGACTTAGCCGGCACTGTGCACTCGATCGCCCCGGTGGTCTAGTGGTATCCTCGTAATCCGCTAGTCGCAGAGGTCGTGAATTCGGATCCCCATGGGGTGAAAAATTTACGAAATGTGCGGGTAAAAGCGAAATATACCGATGTGACTCAAGATAACACACACCCTTGACATTTTCGAAGCTCGATTTCTCAACTGCAGGAACAGTCACAGCGCCGAAACGGCGGCGTTGAAACCGTCTCGTCGAGAGCTTTACGAAAGTGTATCGTTTCGCTTATGCATCCTCTTCGTGGAGTAATCGAGCTTTGAAAATCGGTCCAGGGGGTTCGTTGCCTCGTGTTATATACGGTAGCTGACAAGCTCTCGTGAGTACCGAACTTCGACGTTAGCACCGTTGACGAGGGAAAGGGACGGCTGGACCCTTCTCGCGATAAAAATATAATTCAGCACGCACCGGAGGAACGTGGGGCATGAAAATATATAAAAAGAAGAAAAAAGCCCTGGTGTTTACCCCCTCCTGTGTGACCCTGGATGGTTGTAGTTGTACGAAAAAATACACTGAAAAAGTGTAGTACTCGACATGAGCGGAAAAGTGTAGTACATGTCTCACCACGAAAAATGGGGGTACTGTCGCCATAAAAAATAGGACGAAAACACACACACACACGCACATGCCGGGCACCCGGCATTGTTTAAGATAGCCCCGATATGATGCCAGACTGGCACTATTTACCATTTAGGAATCGAGAAATCTGGCACAGTTAGGACAGTCGTTGGAGTTTTTGTACGACGCCGTGTGCTGTTTCGGGACTTGAAACGGACACACCAGTATCACTTTCTATCGGCCGACATGGAGAACACTGTGCACGAAATGGAATACTGTGTGAAACATGACCCGGTCGAGCATTAGAGGCGCGTGTGTAGGACGGGCGGCACCCACCATTCGATAACAACTTACCGTTGGAGCGTGGTGTACAGCACTGCGTTTGTTTGCAACTCACTCACCCGTGTTTGCACACTAAGTTGTAGATCTGATCATCCATGTACACAGTGATTCCATATTGTTGTTCAACAAAACAAAAAAAAATACGAACGAAACTTGACACTCCCCCGCGACGAAACACCTTCCAAACCTACAAAGCTAAGCCAGGAGCTACCGGTACGAAAAGACACACCCATGTCATATTAACCTACTTTTCCAGCGTAGACTACGATCTTCACATCAACACACGAGGGGCCATGTGTGGGATTATTTTTTTCCGGCATTACCCGCAGCGGAGCACTTCATGTGCAGGGCATGCCGTTCACTGTAATGATGTACTGGCAGCGATTCTGGCTGAAAAGAAAGCTACCCGGCCGATTTCCGGCATTATACCGGGCACCCGGCATTATTCAACCGGCGTTATATCGGGACCACTGGTGTATCTCAACGTTCGAAGGCGCCGGTTGTCGTAGCGTAGTGATTGCAAGCGTCAAAAATTGTTATGCGCGGGGACACCCGTTTCTTTTTCTCGCCGTTTTTTTGCGTGTGCGTGAGTGTGTATGTTGTTTAGGGTTGCGATGTCGTTGCCGCAGATCCTGCTGCTGTAACCTGCTGCTTTTCTATTGTGTTGCTCATGGTGTGTGTGGACGTGTGTGTGATGCGCAGAAGTTCGATTGTGTTGCTTTTTTTGCTGAGAGAGGTGTTTCTTTTGTTCTGCGAAGGCTTTGGTGATTCGGAAAGCCTCCGTACGAAATAGAGCCAGTCGAGGCTCCCCTTCGGGAGCTTGTGGGCTTTTCTCCCTGGGGTGACATGACCAATGTCATCACGTGTTTATCGCTGTACCTCCAACGCTCGGTAGTGCCTGTTTCCGTACAAACTGCAGAGCACGTCATGCGCAGGGAAGCTTGTTTTTTTGCACCATCAGCGACTGCCATGACCTTCCAAGCACTCGTTGGTGTAGTTTTGCTTTTTGGCTAGCGGAGTCTGTTTGCAGATCCGATCGCTGTCACCCGTTGTTGTTGATCGTCCTCTCCTTTATTTTACCGGGTTGCTCGTAGTGTGTGGGAATATGTGTTTCTAGCGAGCAGGAGTCAACAATGTTTCTGATCGTTCAAGCAAAGATCTCTGCTGGTTCGGAATGCCTTCCCAAGAAATAGAGCCAGTCACGGCGACTTACGCGTCGTTTGCTTGTGCCAACCGATGACTGGCGGCCCTCAAGCTTGCACGGTAATGTACCAACGTGCCCCCTGTTTGGCCCTGCGAAGGAAGCCGGAGTAAAAATTCGGTTCCGCGATACAACTACACGTGTGCCGAAGCACAAAGAAAAACATCAAACCAGCACGTATACATAGCGTCGATTACACGCGCCGCAGGATGACCGGCTGTCCTCGAGCATGCGCGGTAATGTACCAACATTCTCCCCGTTCCCGAGAAGGAAGCGTGAGCAAAGATTCGCTTCAGCCAGAGAAAATTGTGTCGAAGCTGAAAAACATGAAATTTTTTCATAAACAAGCGTGTACGTATCCTAGGCTACAGCCCTATCGCCTGTCGCCTACACGTCGAAGATGCCAACCCTATCGCCTGTAGTCTACACGTCAAAGATGCCGCATCCGGCCCGGTGCCGGCTGCCGTACACACGGGTGACTACGTTTCGACGTCTTAGAGCACCATCGCTGGGGTGCCATGTGGGGGGTCGTGGTGTTCGCTACAAGCCTGCGCGGATGACACTTGGGTTTCATCCGAGCTGGGCAATCGGTTCTGACTGTTGCTGGTAGGGAGGGTGACGAATGGTGTCATTCAATTCCTTCTCAAGATGGCACTGCTGTGGCCCAGTGAGCAGATTCAGAAGGGCCAGGGGCCTCGGCAAGTGTTCAGACTGATTTGTTCGGAAGAGTCATTTGGTGTTGTGGTTCGGGTGTATCTCGAGATCGTGCGGTGATCGGCACAGAAGTGGTGGCGTACAGTGCTGTACGGGCCTTATTGGCTGCTCTTGAATGTCGCCGCCGCCCTGGTTTTGGTTGCCAAGAGCCGGTTATGAGCTTATGGGCCTTCCTGTCCGAAAAACCTGTGTCTTTTGTCCGCAGCTCCGTCGCCCCCTTTTAACGGCGCCCCTTCGATGGACGCACACCCATTACGGTTTTTCGACCTCGTGCTTGTCGTACTCCTCTCCCCTCATGGCCACTCCCGGTTCTCCACGGTCATTCCTACATCCGGCCGAAGGGGGGAGGTCTAACGATGAGACGCGGCTTGAGCTATAAGGGCAAGAATGGACCAGGCTTGACCAACATCGGGCGAGTTGTAACCACCCGGAAGCGAGTTCTTGAATCCGAGGAACCGTGCAAGGTAGAGTGGGAGCCTCCGCCACGACAGCTGGACCGTGTTGTGGTTTTGCCTAGTAGAGTGCGTTTTGGATGGCCGCATCGGTTTCAAGGACGATCGCCATACCGGCCGCAATCGCGAGCGCTGGGGTTGTACTGCGGCTTGTGTTTGCTTGTCGTGTGCTAGCCCACCCCCCACATACGTACTGTAGGTGCTGTTCGGCCTCACCCAGTAGATGCGCTGAGGTCCATGTTAAGCAAGAGCGTGTGACAGTGACATGGCATGCCAGAGTCCGGCGCTGTCTGGTGTGTTGGCCCCGACGGAAGGCGTGAGTAACATCCTGATTTTGTCCACGAACGACCGACACCACTCTGAGTTGTCGTCAGAACCCCACAGCAGGATTGTGTACTCGCGCTACATGTACAGCACCGAGCTAGGATCTGAGGCAATCCCATCAGCGACCGAGTTCAGATTACCAACCTTTCGTGACTTGACGGATGTCATCGCGGTTTCGAACCGCGCTGAATCAATGGATTGAGCGTCTTGATAATGGGAAAGTGGTATCGAACCGAGGAATTTTCCGTAGATATCCCCCCTTCTTTACCACACTCGGAGGCGTGGATTGCGTGCCACACATCCAGGGTGGGACATAAATAACCGTTGCAAGCTCAGTCTCCGCCTCGGACCACGTCAGGATCACAGGCGTTGCCTTGACCTGGGTTTCGGCAGGCGCGCGCCGTAGTGTCAATGTTGTGACGTCCCGCTGTTTTGCCATCATTCTTTCGCTGTTTTTGGCCGATCAGGTGATGATCTCCAACCTGGACTATAGCTTGACCGAGAATGATGTTGCGGAGTTTTGCAGCACCGCCGGTGCCGTCGCCGGCGTCAAGCTCGTCAAGAAGTGGTACGCCAAGACCTCGAAGGGGTGAGTGAGCGAGCGAAAGCACGAGGCAGACATCATTCGAACCGGCCTGTTTCGAGACAACACACGCGAAGCGCGTTCGTCTCTTGCTTCAGCGCACTATTTTTCCGTGTTCCACTTCCGTAGGATATCTTGCCCTCTGGCTCCCAAGTACATCGGGTGCTTCTTCATTGAGGGAGGTCCGTTTCACTTTTTCGAGCATGCACAGTACCCTGCTCACGTTCGCGAGCTCAAATCAAGTCTCCTGATTGTACTGTTGTGGAACGGGTTGCGGATGCTTGTTTTCTCTGTTCCTTGGAGAGAAGTACTCGTTACGAACCATGCACGAAGGGCGGGGGACACATCTCCATACCTACCTTCGCGCGATTCCATCTCGTTCACTGACCAAGGTACGGGTTCGTCGACTTCGACCAGCCGCTGACGGCAACGATCGCCATCGAGACACTTAACGGGAAAGAGCTCAAAGGCCGCGTGGTGGAACTCAAGCCGGCGATCACAAGCCGGGAGAAGCGGAGGAAGCAGGCCCTGCGAGATTGGGAGCAGAGGTGCCTGGAGGAGGACAGACGAGTCGAGCAGGGCTATCCGAGGCGAGAGGTGCCGTTGCCGGAGAAGAAGAAGATGGCGGACTTCGGGGTCACCGTAGATGAGTTCCTTGAGATAGTCGGGCGAACCAACAGCCGCACCGCGAAGAAGCAACCCAAGTACGCGGAGGAGATTGGGTACGACGATGACGACGACGATGACGACGACGCGGACTTGTTCTGAGGTAGTCTGGCCGTTGGGATATGGCGACGACAAGCCCGTAGACATCGTTTTTGTCTTTGTGCTTAATGCTTTACAGGGCTTTCGGGCTGTTTAGCAGCGACCTCGGGGGTCCGAGAGATGCCTTTCTCTTACTGCGGCCCCAATGAAGAACCAAGAATTGAAACGAACTTCGGTCCCTTGGTTCAACCAAAAGCCGCAGCCGATCGTCATGTGGTACGATTCGGCACGACGGAGTGCGGATGACCGTACCCACGGCGTGACAGAAAGGATATGTTCGGATCTTATTCGGACATTTATTTCGTGTTTTACAGTCGGACGTGCGATGACATGGTTGTGCCTCCTGCGGGTACTGTATCTTGTCGTTGTGTACCCGGTGTGTACTTGTAGCGCTAGCCGCCATGAAGCCTCAGCAAGGCCCTACGCTGTTTTGATAACTGGGTTCAGTGCGGAGCCTAGTAACTCCTGTTGCTCCCCACAAGACTCCTGCCGTTTCAAACCCTGGCGAACATATGTGTGCAGTGTGTGGGTCTGGAAATGCTGTGCTTGTACCCGTATGCCATACTTGTACCCAAGTCTGGTGGGGATTCGTGCCGGGTTGACAAGTGGTTCAGGGCCTTGTGAGGGGAATTCTGGCCCGAAGGTGGACGAAGAACATGATCCCCGAAAGCCGGGCGTAAAGGACGGGTTTTCCTTGCGATCGTTTCTACACCATGGACAGGCAACAATTGGGCGATGTCGTCGGTCCTTGACGATGTCTTTGCCCCCGATGGCTTGTCTGGTTTGGGACCCTATCTTCTTTTTGCCATGCTGTGGCCACGCGCGGAAACCATCCCTGCGTTCCTCGTGATTGCGATGAGCGACTGGACAGCGACCAAAGTAGCGCATGACAAGACTACTCCCGTCGTTCGTGCTGGCACAAGGGCATCGTTAGGCCGTGGAGTTGTGTGGGGCGCGATCCAAACGAGTGTGCATCCGCTGCAGTAGTCGGCCCAAACGACAGTTGCCACACCAGCGATAGTGGCGCTATTCGAAAGGTACCTCGCGCATCATTTTAATTTTCAAAGGTGCAGAACCATACATAAGTGGCTCGCCACACGTATGGCAGTCTGTCGCTTTTTACGGGTAAAGCAGCGCCGTAGAAAAGCCGCTATCAAGCAATACATTTTCGGCGGCAGGCCGTAACGGCCTTCCACACGTGTGAGGCAGACATTTCCGGCGGCAGGCAAGCATTCAGACGATCGGAGAGCGAAACGTCGCACCATGAGTCGAAGCCTGACACCCGAGTGCCATGGAGCCCTCCCAATGGTATACGACCTATAATAAAAAAAAATGGATGCTGAAAGACCAGCCCCTATAGCGATAATAGTGTCGGAGAGGAGCGCAGAGCTCAGCGATGCTGCCCGGGGTTTCACAATGTATGCTGGCGTGCACAGGGCTCCGCGGGGCGCGTTTCTAGCTACCCTTTGCAACTCACTTTCATCACGCCCTGAGGCTCACTTGGATAGAAATCCGTTTGGAAGATGGACTTGTGTCCGCAGACTTCTCGCCAAAAATGCGGGCCAAAAATCTCACCGTGGTAGGAGCACCCTGCGAGGAAGGGTTCAGCAGCAGGTGTGAAAACAAGAAACTGCCCAGGCTCGGATCACACACCCCGACCACCAACGCGCGCCACGCCAGAGCACGCCAGTTGCGAAAAAAAAACTTGTGGCTTCCACCATGCCGTCGGGATCATCTTAATGCTATGGGTATCTGAGACTAATCTATTTTTAGCATAAACCGACATGTCCACTTTCGCCGCCGCTGCTACAACAAGTAGTAGCAGTAGCGTCTGTNGAAAACAAGAAACTGCCCAGGCTCGGATCACACACCCCGACCACCAACGCGCGCCACGCCAGAGCACGCCAGTTGCGAAAAAAAAACTTGTGGCTTCCACCATGCCGTCGGGATCATCTTAATGCTATGGGTATCTGAGACTAATCTATTTTTAGCATAAACCGACATGTCCACTTTCGCCGCCGCTGCTACAACAAGTAGTAGCAGTAGCGTCTGTTGTGTTTTGTACCGTTGGGACTGGTTCACAACACGTGCCTTGGTGGGCATCATACCTGCCAGCCCTCTTGTAGAAGTGGTTCTCACATAAGTCCTCTATTCCAAAACATCCATGGGGGCTCGTGGTCACAAGGTACGGCACCCTCGACACCGCGAAGAAATCAAGAAACAAATATATGTAGGCTACCGAATACACAAGATAACACACACCCTATTTTCAAAGCTCAATTACTCCACGACGAAGAGGGTGCATAAACGAAATGATACATTTTCGAAAAGCTATGAACGAGACGGTTTCAACGCCGCCGTTTTCGGCGCTGTTACTGTTCCAGCAGTTGATAAATCGAGCTTCGATAATTGGTCAAGGGGGTGTGTTATCGCGTGTCATATTCGGTACATGCCGCTCAGTGTGGGAGACAACGGAAGAAAAAGAAGGTAAGGTGGCCCAGCCCTGTCTGTTCCTGGTACGGTGGTTCCTATTTACGGTTTGGCGGCGGCTTCACGATTAGTGTGGAAATAGTTATTTAGGCTCTCGTAAGGTGCAGAAGCGCAGCAGACCCATGTCGTCTCCAGTATATAGTCTTACATCAAACAGCGGCTTATTTTTTTTGTTTTGTCTCTCTTTCCCCTTGCCCCCCCCCAGGGGTGCGCCGGGATGGAATGGATGCGAAACGTCATTTTCGGCGAGGGTAACGAAGGAGAAACCTCGTCGCCAGTCAGGATTATTACGAAGCATTTTACGGTGAGAACTTATCGCGGAAAGTGTGGGTGGTGTCAATCGTGGTGTTGTTGTACATGACACAATGCTTGTTGCTCTCCGTATTCATTCTCTTGTAAGCCTTGTTCCCCACGTGTACCCATCTCTCGATACCCAGCACTGCCTCGTTGTGGAGGGCGGAGGGCGCTGGACGGAAGCGTTTTTGGTGTTGGTAAGAGGGTGTGATGTGTGACATGTTGATCCTCGCTGCCATGTTTAGTGGGTGTCGATGTTAAGCGTTATGGCCATGAGTTTCCGGGTACACGTGGTTCATAATGTGCCGGTGCGTGGGTCTTGGTTATGTGTATGTTGGCGCCGGGTTGACATGAATCGTGTTCGGACGAGACCGGGGCGCGGTAGGTCTAGGAGGCTGCTTGTTTTGGGTAGTGCATGAAAAGCGTGGGCATATTCGTCTTTGTTTTCCCAGTTAGGATCGTATGAATCGAAAGCGTTGTTGTCGTCGATATTGCATCTGCATTCAATTGGTTGTGCAGAGTTATTCTTATACAAATAATCTCGGTTTGCAGCACGCCAGACGAAACCGCGATGGTCGCAAAAAATTCCTTATGGTATCTATCATACAACGTAAGTTTCTTCGCGTGGGTAAAACATTGCTCCAGGTTGCAAACCTGAAGGGGACGCACACACATCCACTAAGAATTGGGGTCGTTTCGAGTCCCATCGCCAACACATTCCTGCGCTTGGAGTGAGAATGCGCGGAGACGGCGAAAATTGCAGGGCTCCAAAATGGTGGAACCCAAAGCGTGCCTGAGAGTTACCGCCAACACCCAAAGTAGTATTGGGTTTCAAGAACAAGTCTTGCAGACTGGCAAACACCAAACGACATGCATATACGCAGGTTGGAGGCGCAGAAACTCGCCCGTGAACCACAACGGTCTCGGTGTGTTACACCCATGTTACCCTTGATACTCCTTTGTTGCAGCAAGGCATCCTCTCAATTGTTGTTGCCAACCAAACCCACACGTCTTTGCGGAGGCGCACATATCCTCCATGGCGATGCTACGAAAAAACGAAGACGTTGACTCAACCATGCGCAAAAAAAAAAACACTAGCCCCCCCCTCCCGAAACCACAACAAAAAATAAAATAGCCACGGCCCTCGCAAGAAGCAAGCCTTGCCGTGAGAGTGGAAAAACAAAAACACCCTCGGGTTCGTTTACTGCTGGCACTGACTCAACCATGCGCAAACAAAAAAAATACCCCCCCCCCCGAAACCACAACAAAAAAAAAGCCACGGCCCTCGTAACAAGCAAGCCTTGCCGTGAGAGTGGAAAAAAAAAAATACCCTTGTTGTGTTCGTTTACTGCCGGCACAGCAGCTTGCCCGTGGACCACAACCATCTCGGCGTTCTTCAATCACATGTTATCCTTCATCCTCCTTTGTTGCCTCAAGGCATCCTCTCAATTGTTGTTGCCAACCAAACTCACACGTCTTTGCATAGTCGCACGTGTCCTCGGTGCTTAACGCTACGAAAAACAATGGTGACTCATGCATAACGGGAGCACACGCCCACACGCTTCCACTTCGACGATTGCACGGAAGCAAGTCCAGCAGAGCATGTGGGTGTTATTGGCCTCCAAACATCTCCTTCTCGAGCATTGCTACNAGCATGTGGGTGTTATTGGCCTCCAAACATCTCCTTCTCGAGCATTGCTACCATTTGTTCCATGAATTTTACTCTCGTCTGGTAACCCGGCCGCTTTTTTTCCTTCTCTTCCACAATCTGCTCCGAACATTTCTGGTGGTCGGCGCACATTGCTTTCTGCAGAGCGTATTCAGCAGCCTTGGTATCGAGGACAGCAGACTTGCTTTCCTCTTCCTCTTGTTTCAGTCGCCACTCAGATTCCTCCGATCCGCCACGTGGCAGGAGCGGCTCAATATCTAAGAGTGCGGTTTTCATGGCAACCGACGTAGCCTCTGCCACGCTCTGCCTTCTGCCCTGTTTTTTCTGCTTCGTCCCCCGCCTGTTCTGCTCGTAGAGCCTCGCGCCCTCCCGCTTGGCGGCCGCCCGGCGCTCGGCACCGCCTGTACAGCCATCGCCCTCTCCGGTTCCGTCGTCCTCTCGCTGAGCATCCTCCGGGAGGAGATTGTTACACACTTGGTCAAGCTCGGGGTATTTCTCGATTGCGCAACCGAGAATGTACGTGTCCGTGTCCCCTGTAAAAAAAAAAACAAAGCGCAAAGCGCGGGCGGGGAGGGTCTGTATGGAGCAATTAGAAAGGTGTTTGGTCTTGCTTCAAAATACACGATAAAAGTTCATGGTGCAGGCAATCCTCTTCAATCAGGCCTCAAGGTGGACGTCATCCCGGGAGTACGTTTTACAACACTATCGACAACTCCAAGTGCAATATCAAAACTCCGACCGTAGCAGCACTTACACGCTGAAGTACGATCGGCACAATTGACGCCACGGCCACAGAATCGCCCAAGGTTCCTGGAGAAAACAGACGCTGTTTTATACCCAGCCCTACGCCACCCATCTCTTACCTTGGCAAAATGAAAGCCATGGCTGGTTGTTGCCGGATTCACTCTTCCAATTGGCAATAGGCGTGTTCCATTTCGCCTTTGCCGCAGACCACATCTTGGTGATCTTTTCCGCCGAGATGTTAGGTTGCTGGATGATGTTCGGGTTGACGTGACTCACTTGTTCGTCGTCCACGATTTTTCTCACCTGAAAAACGTCCACAGCACCCATAGGTCAGGCATCCAGCAAGGGAGCGAGGGAAGGGGCAACGCAGATCATACACGTGTTCTTTATACCTACCTACAAAGATGACGCCCCCCGGACGTGCGAGAAATTGAACTCGATTTCGATACGAAAAAAAAAAGAACGGGGGGAATGCACCTCTTTCGCGGGAAGGCCCAATGTCGGTCTGTTCCCGGCCTGTTATTTTCTTCTGGCAGAAAATATTGTCTGGCTATCAGTGCATTCTTTTGAAATTTTTCAGCGCGTTTTCAATGTCATTCACTATAATAGGCAACGAAGCAACTACAGCAGTATCTACAGCAGTGTGGTCGTCGGCGTCAGCAACAACTACATAATTCACCGGTAGACGTCAACAGCAGGTTGACCCGCTCTTGGGGTTGGATACCTAATGGCATTTTACCTAAAACGATGGCGCGATCGTCCGTGGACGTTATGAGGTGTTGAGAACCATGCCTAAAACTAACTATCAATAAACGGCAGGTGTTGTCAACATACACTTCGACTGCTGTTTATGTACAACGTTCTCGTCCGATCCGTACTAGTCAACCCCCTACCCCCAGCACGCACATTGTGGCGAGGGTCTCGGAAGCGGTCGGTGACCTCTGTCCACAAATGTTTCCGCGGCCCAACTGCTGAGGTGTCCAGCTCCTGCCGGGTCGCCTGCAAGCGGCTGTTGATGACAAGTGGGCGGATGGAGTCTTCGCACAGCATCCCAACGAGCCGCATCATGCAGTGTGGGCCCTTGCGCTCCGTGATGTTGCCACTCCCTCCGGCGGAACCACCCCCGTCCGGTCCGGCTGCACCACCCGTCGACGAACTCCCGCCGGCAGAATCCTCCAGTTCCGGTTTGTCTTCTTTCTCCATGGCGTCGTAAAGGTCCGCCACACTGTAGTCCACACCCTCGACTGAAAACGGTTCTGTCACGTGCTAGGGCGACCATGTTGACAACGCCTCGAAACATAAACAGCGCACTCGCAGGGATGGCTCCCTCCTCCTCCCCCTCCTCCTGCTCGCTGCCGCGTCCAGATTTGCCTGCGCGAACGCCCGGATATGAGAAAGCGGCCCAGCCAATGAATACGCCTTCGCATGAGAGGAAGCCTCAGGTGTACTACACACACAGCAGTAATTTTGTTTTGTTTCCTCTGCGCACACTGCGTTCAATTGCAGAGTAACCACCTATATTTTGTCGATACTCTGTGTCGTCTGCTGGGACTCTAATCGACGACGAATCTACACAATACCAGCATCTCACCGGCTGCGATAGCATCGAGGTCGTCGAAGTACGGAGATGGCCGTTTCATGTTGGCGTCGAGAGATCGCAGGGCCGCCACCAGGACACCCTTGCTCTTCTGCGACATCCTCGGGATCTTGCGGTGCCCGCATGTCCGCTTCAGAAAGTGTGTGGCCCAGTGTGGGTAGTCCTTGCCCCGGTCTTTTTTGGCACTCGCGTGATGGGATGCTGCTGCTTTGTTCTTCCCTACGACGCTGCCGCCGGCGCTCGCCTTTCGCTTGCCGTGGTTTGTGGTCCTCGTGCCCGCTCCCCCTCCCCCGGTCATTGCTTCCCGAATTTCCTTTTCGAACACGACATCTCCCGACTGTGAGCCAATGTCCGACGGAGCTGAACTGTCCTCTAACGAAACATTGCTGCCGCCACTTGACGTCGGGCTGCCCCCCCCCTCGTCGTCGTCGCCGCCGCTCTCCGACTCGGT